ATCATGAAGAAAAGCAAAATCATTGCCATCATCATCATCATCATCACCACCATCACCATCTCTAATATGCACTAAGTGCTGTTTTGATGATAGGCATGGGATTACTAAGTGTCACACATGCAGACTTTCTTTAAATCCTCAAAATAATCTCTATGTGGTAGATTGCCCCACTTTATAAAGAGGAAACTGAGACTTTAAAAAGTTAGCTTATGTGGACTGAGGTTGTGGCTCACCGGTAGAGTGTCCACCTAGCACATGGGAGGCCCTGGGTTCCATCCTCAGCACCACATAAAAATAAATAAAATAAAGGTATTGTGTCCAACTATAACTAAAAAAAATATTTTAAAAAGTTAGCTTATTTAACCAGAATACATTTGTTGATTTTCACATTAGTATAAGGCAGACTTTTGATTTTTAGGTTTAGAAAAATAAGTAAATGGGACACAAAATAGATGGAAGACTGTTTTTCCACCAATGAAATACCAGGAAATTAAATTAAATACCAGGAAAATGAGGGGTTTATAGTTGTTAAGATAAAGATATTTTTATTGTAAATTGCAATCTGATATCTTTGGATGACTAAAGTTGTATGGAAAGGAAGAGATGCTCTGTTACAAATGAATCCTCTTTGGTAACTTTTGCAGTGTTTGGGAGTGGGAGCAGAAAGAACAATTTACCCTCTTTTATGGTAATTTTTTTTTTTTCCAAGCAGAAGGAGTTCAGTTAGTGAAACTCCTGGTTTCTGTCTGTCACTTATTCCATGCCAGGTGAGGAGGGGCGGTATCTGAGGTAAATTTAGGAATAATAGTCTGGACATGTTCAGCTTTTTCCTTTTTGGGATCCAGGTTGCCCACAGAGCACACTTCTTTCCGGTTTCTTCACTGGAGTTCCTCCATAGGCTTCCATGTCTGCCTTCTTAGGGTGGAAGCTCAATTACAGTTCATTTTGTTTCTACCCACTAAGTTTTTCAGATATTCTGGCCTTTCATAGTAGTGTAGGGAGTATTTCAGCTTATGTTTGTTACCCTGGTCTTATTTCTCAGTTGAGTAGCACTCAGGGGAGATAGAGGGGTGTTTTTATTTCATTTCACAGAAACATCCTCTCCTCCAACTAAGAAGAAAGAATGACTTTCATAAATCTGATGGTGAGATTTAGGTCAAAGGTGATGCTGATTCTTTATGTTATACTGGGGAGAAGTCTGCTTTTTTGGGAAGAAGAGCCAAAGATTTTAACAATGCTGACAATATATTGGATCATTTAGTATGGTTAGAAATGATTCCTACTGCTTTAGCTATAAAAATTGAGGCAGCAGTTGCTATGGAGATTTGACAAGTTAAAATAACAGCTTTAAGTGAGAATAAAGAAGCAGTGAGAGTAAGACCTATGATTACATGCTCTGTGTAACTACTAGTGATGAATGTTGAGTGCTTCATTTTACCTGATTAAATTATTAAACACATTTTTTCTTTATTCAAAATGAATGGGATTTCTTATTCTGTCAATCGAGTCACTGTTTGATACAGTGATTATTTCTTCTCAGATCTACTCCAAGGTGGAACTAAAGAAATAAATGTGTGTTGCCATATAATCTTAATAATATTCAGGCCTGATATTTAAAAATCCTGTTATTATAATTAAACCTCTGGGTAGGATCTAGGGATAATTGACAAAACTGTTCTTTTATGCCCTTTGTGAAATTCCTGGAAGAGAGCTATAATTTTAATATGCATTTTAGACGTTATTCTCCAGGTGTTCCCTAGCTTGATGGAGAACCAAACAAAGGAAAATAGGCTTCTATTTCAGTAGGGACCTTTGAATTATAAGAAAAGAAAGATAATTTTCCTAACTGCAATGGAAAGTTAAATTTTAGCATCTCTTTCCTTGGAGATATTTAAAATTGAGTAGATGAACCAAATCTGTGCTGAGTTCAGTGATGTCCTGTTGTTCTTTGGTGATGGGGAGGCGACTGTTTCAGCTGTTGCATGCCACAGTAAGATAAAGATTTACCATGATTATTTCTAGAGTATTTAAAAATATTTAAATTATTATGATATATACATATAAAACTACCAGTAAATATTCATGAATTTGGGCATTTTATATCATTAAGATTATGTTATTTAAAGGACTTTATGTAAGACAAGATTTTTTTTTTCTCTTGAAAGAAAAAAGAACAAGAGGAAAAGGAAGGAAATAAAGAAGAAAATTGGAAGTAGGGGGTTCTGGGATTATAAGGTTACACAAAACGAAATAGTAATTTTTCTACTGATTTAAAACAATTGCTTCTTGATCATGGTGGTTCTAGCAGCCATTACTAATTCTGAGGTAGCTACAAGGAATGAATCTGTAGCCAGTTCAAACACATGGTCATTTTACATACTGTGATAGAATGTGCTCATGTGCACATGAATTTTAAAATTTCCTTGGATGACTTTTAAGTTAAAATTCCAATTTTAATTGTTAATCATTTAGAAAATACCATCTTGAACTTTTTATCACATAGTTGTGTACAATGTTCTCCTTGAAATAAAACGTGCCAGTTAATTTATGTCCAAGGAAACCATTATGCTCTTGTTAGAAATGGAGGCCTCATGGCTGAGAAGTAGCTCAGTGGTAGAGTGCTTGCCTGTCATGCTGGATTTTGATCTCTAGTACTGGAGGAAAAAAAATAATAATAAAAAAGAAGGCCTGAAATACAGGGTAGCATCACATAACATATATTTCCAAACTGAGTTTTATTTCAGTGATTTTTTTTTAGTTATAAATGGACAGATGCCTTTATTTTATTTATTTCTATGCCGTGCTGGGGATAGATCCTAGTGCCTCACTCATGCCATGCAGGTGCTCTGCTGCTGAGCTACAGCCCTAGACCCCAGATTTCAGTGAATTTAAACTCTAGTTTCTATCTCAGTTGAGTTAGAGACCTTGCTGGTTTTGTGTGAGAACATTTTTTAGGGTAGTGGAAGCCTTTTCCTTTCTAGGGACCAGGTCTCTGAGGCTACTCCTGATCTTGGAGCTTCCCTTCCTACTTCCCTCTGTCACCACATTAAATATATCATTTTGCAAATTCTTCCAATAAAGGCTCTTTTGCAGTGCAAATAGCGCAAACACAATCAGAGTCTCTTGTCTACTTGCCTCTTTGTCCCCTTTATTTAATCATTCATTGCCTGGAATGAGATGGGACTGACCTCAAGGAACTTCATTGGTAAACATCCCAAAGGTGTTATCACAGTAATTATATGTTTACATTTCTCTACATTACTGGACTGAGAGCTTCTTTTGGACGAGAAATATGTTTTATTGTTGTTGAGATCCTTATAGTAATTGATCTTTCAGTTATGATTAAAAAACTAAAAATTCAGGCTCTGGGAGTCACAGCCATATAGCATGAAGTGGGAATTAAGTATGTGGCATTTGTATAGGTTCATTCATTTATCCTGTGAATTTTATTGAGTACCAACATGAGCTCTAGATGTATATTACTCAATTAGACACAGTCCCTGCCTGCATGGAGTAAGCCTTCTGATAAGGAAACAATATAAATAAGTAAACAAAAAATTAAATGTCTAAGTGCAAATTTTGATATATGATTTTGATGGAAATTATGCTGAAAGTGAAGCGAATACAGGGAGAAATAGGAGTGAGGTGATTCCCACAGAGGAAACGGCATGTGCACAGTCGCTGAGGTGCAAAGAAAACTTGTGTTGAAGGTACTGAGAAGCAGAGTGCAAGTAGGTGTGCCTGGAATGCTGGTCAGGAGGAGATCCTAGCATCAAAGGAGTGAGAGAGGTCACAGGGGGCCATGTCATGCAGGTAGATTTGGATTTTGAGTCACTGTGCAAAGATTATTATCAATGATTTAAACATTTGGCAGTTTTCAAAAATTATAGTTTTTGGTTGAGAACAATGGATAGAGACTGTGCTCTTAATAGATGCTTCTTAAAGTATGTATTAGTTTCTTAAATTAGGTTAATTTTTTTCTGTGAATTATGGAAAGATAAATTTTTGATATTTATTCAAATTTTCAGGGAATGTTAACTTAGTAATATATGGTAAATCAGAAAATGAAGCAAACCTGAGTTCTTTTTAGTTGAGAAGAAGGCAGCATGAATATACAATTTCCTTTTCTTTCATGGAGACTATTGAGGAAAAGTTTTCCTTATGCCTCTACATTTTCTGCATATGTTGTGAATGAGCCACTTGCTGTTCTTTGTTCTGGATATCTTTTGTTGATATAACAAATAGCCTTGAAAGGTAAAAATGGTGCCTCCTTCTGTAGCAAATGGATCCATTTATATATAACCTTGGAAAACAGAAATAGTGATTTCCCCCAGAGCAAAGGGCAAGTAGTCAGTCTTGCTAAATGTTATCAAAGACTGGGGTTCTTTGAGCACTGTTTTCTCTCCTGAAATGAATCTCGCTGTCTATAAAGGCATCCACCAGGGCCTACTTGGGCAAGGAGAGCTGACACACATACTGATGCTCATGCAGCTCCCTATGTGGTGATTAATAAAGTCCTTTGTCTCTGACCCAGGAGGCCTATGTCTTCTGCCAGTATCCATAACTATTAACTTACAAATGCTTAAGGTCTCAAACTCTTCACAGTTCCCTGCAAATTCCTCAGCAATCTAGGGCAGTTTATGCCCTAGTGTTTTTCAGTCTTTAAGATATTCACTTAGCATTTTTTTTTTTTGTCACTGCCTTTCTCCTCCAAAGTCACAAGATGAACTATTTTCAGACAATCACATCTTAAGTGTGATTTCTGTTCTAAAATACATGTGTGAAACCTGCTATCTATTAATTATTCTGCTTTGAATATGCTGAACCAAATGGGAGAATTTTTCAGCAACAAAAAGAATGCTACACTAAAATTTTAGGGTCATCAAAATATATGATACTCGATTTGAAATTTAAAAATTTATGTGTATGTATTTGAAAACATTACCCAAGCATATTTTAATGAAAAATTCTTACATGATAACCTCTAAGAGATTAACACAATGGTTTTTCAGCTGTGGTGGAGCCACCATTATCACATGTGGGATGGCCTTGGCTTCTTGCCTCCTCCTTACCAGGGATTTGAAGAGCAGGCACCACCTGCAATACCCAGTGAGGCAAGGTACTGCTCTAGCAGCTGGAAATGTTCTGTATTTACACTGTTTAAACCAGTACCATGAGCCACACATGTGGCTAGCCACTCAACATTTGAAATTGGGCTAGTCCAAAATGAGGACTGTTGTAAGTTTAAATTATGTACCAGATTAAGACCTGGGGAAGAAAAGTAATGTAAAATATCATTAACAACTCTTAAAATTGAGAAAGTTTAAAATGGTAATATTTTAGATAGGTCAAATAAAAATAGTACTAAGTTAATTTCAGGTATATTTTTACTTTCAATGTGGCTCCCAGAAAGTTTTAAATTCCATATATTGTGTGGTTATAGATTTTTGTTACTTAAAAGGCAGTTCTCAGGCCAGCATCAACAGCATGCAGCTCATCAGAAACTTAGAATCCCACACCCTACCCAGACTTACTGCATCAGAATGTGTATTCCAATAAAACCCATGAGATATGTATGTACATTACAGTTTGAGTAGGAGTTTCCTAAGACTGGTAGTGCCAGATAAGACATCCAGTTAAATTTACTTTTCAGATAAACAATACGATTTAAATATAGTATGTCTCAAATATTGCATGAGACATGTAAGAGAGCCCCTGTAGGATTAAAAGCCTCAATCGCCCCAATTTCCTGATATATTGTTCTTCTGCAACTGAGCTTCCTCATGCTAAGAATGGAAACCCAAGAACTGGCCTCAAAGTCTGGACAGGTGCCAGCAAGGGTTGAAAAACTAGAACTATAATACATTCTCTGACTAATACTGTCTAGCTAAATCTGCATATGTATATTTCCTGCCTTTTGTCTGTTTGTATACCCTTTCCACCCTTTCCTCTTACAAAAGCTGTTTGTACCCCTGAACCCTCCAGAGATGGAGATTTGAAGCAGAAAAGGTCTCCTCTATCTTCCTTGGCTTTTAGTAAACCTATTTTCTTCCATCAGCCTCTGTCTCCTGAGTTTTGCAGTTGGGTGGCAAGCAGCAGAACGTGCAATTCTGGTAGCAGACTACTGATATTAAAATTATGTGTTTTCCTGAAATTCAAATTTAACTGTGCATTCTGCAGTTTATCTACCAACGATAGCTAAGACTAAATTTCTCCTGTCCAGGCCTTGGTTTAATACTTGAAATTCCTCAGATTTAGGAAAGGATCATAGATAAAAGGATAGGTGGAAAGTAGAAGTTGGGAGATGAGAGGACAAAGGGAAGAAAAGGATGTATGAGGGAAAGGAAGAATAAAAAGGACATGGAAAGACCACATTTAAGACCAGCTTTTCAGTTTTATAGTTTTTATTAGGAACTTCCCCCCTTATTCCTGCATTCCTCCACATTCCTCAGTCACTGTGGTTTTTTCTCTTCATTTTCTGATGGGGTCCCTGTTGTCCATGAGGAGAAGATAGCGAGGAGGGGGAACAAAAATCTTCTTGAGCAAATCCCAACCTTCCTATAATCCATCACCTCTCTGAAATTGATTTACAAAAAAGCCCTTATCAGAATGACTGTCACTAAGAATACAAAATAATAAATAGTAATAATAAATGCTGGAGACGGTGTGAAGGAAAAGGAATCCTTATGTACTGTTGGTGGGAATATGATTTAGTGTAGCCACTATGGAAACCAACTTGGAGGTTCCTCAAAAAACTAAAAATAGAACTATCATATGATTCAGCTGTACAATTCCTGGATATATACCCAAAGTAATTAAAGTCAGCATATTATAAATATACCTGCATTTCCACTATCACCTGCATGCCTTCATATGAATTATCATGGCATAATTCGTAACAGGTAAATTATGAATTAGTTAGTCTAGGTGCCCATCAGAGGAGGAATGGATAAAGAAAATAGGTTAACATATTAACATGGTGCATACCAATAATCCTAGCAGCTTGGTAGGCTGAGGCTGTAGAAGTGCAAGTTGGAAACCAGCCCGGGCAACATAGTGAGAAACTGTCTCAAAAAAAAAAGAGTGGAGGGGTGGTATTGGGGATGTAGTTCAGTGGTAGAGTGTCCCTGTGTTCAATACCCAAGTACCACAACAAGAAAATATATACACATAATGGAGTATTATTCAACCACAAAGAAGAATGAAGTCACATCATTTGCAGGAACATGGGTGGAACTGGAAATCGTAATATTAAGCAAAATAAGTCAACCAAAGACAAGTTGACTTTCTTTCATATACGATATATTTGGAAAAAAGACAACCAAAAGTAGCAGAAGAGGAAGGGGATCAGGGGGAACAGGAGAGAGAAGAGCAAGGGAGAGTAGTAACAGGGAGGTGGCTATGATCAAGGGATGGTATTTGGATGTAGAAGTATGCCACAATTAAAACCTTTATTTTATATAATTAAAATGCACTAATGAAAAAAATCTCAGGGGAAATAAGTGTCCCTTTCAGCTACCAGTACTTTATCATTAATGAGATAAAGGTCACTAGGTGATAAAATTGCTGCCACTTCTGTTTGGAAGACTTTCTTTATTGTGGCATTTTAATTGTAGTTTTCTAAAATGTAAAATAACTGATAAAGATTGAGTCCTATTGGGTCCTATTTTTGAAAGCTTCTTAAGCCGGTCTGGTGCAAGTAAACATCAGTCAGTAACAATGGGTGTTCTTTATTTAGCTAAGCACTGAAGAAGAGGCTTTCATCTAGGATTGATTGATTCTATTTAAGGTTCACAACAATTCTTTAAGTATTCTTGTACCCATTCCACAGATGAAGAAACAAGGATTTGGAGGGAAAACCACTTGCCTGGTTTTAGACAACTGGTAAGTCCCCAGCTGGGTGTGCAGTTGGCTGGTGTCTGACTCCAAAGCCAGTGCTCTTCAACACTCCCTTCAATGCCTCTCAGCAGGTGGAGAGGTAGGAATTCAACAGGAAACCTTGAACTAGAACATATATGTAAATATAGGTAAGTTCCAGAGATTTTTTTAAACTGATTTAGTCACCTGAAAGATGCATGTAAAAATATATACTTTATAGATTTTATGTGACAGTATCAAAACAATGCAACTTTCTGAAAAGATCTTATCTGACATAGATTTTCTCTTAAAAAATTCCTTCCTAATAATCATTCAATGAGATGAGTAATTAAAAATCTAAATATTGGTTTCATTCTGTACTCTAAAGTAAGCATTATTAGGTCCCTCCCTCTGCCTTCCCCCACATAATACATCCTGGGGAAAGCTGTCCTTTTATTGGTTGAATATGCTATCAGTTACAAAGCATGAAAAGTACTGCTTCTGCTCTGTTTGCATTATGAATTAACAGATGTGCTTGGTTTGAAGAAACTGATTCATTCCTTGATGGGAAGAAAAATCTTGTTTAGTTTTTCACTTCTTTTTCTATGTATGGGATTTTCACTAACTTTGGACCAGATATTTACCAGGAAGAATGTAAGGTGAGCATTTATACATCTTTTAATGAAATGCATTTGTGAACTTCAATGCAAGTCTGACATGAGATGGTACTGTTATTTCTTTAAATGTCAAATATCTATATTTGTTTATGGTTCAAAATTGATAAACTAGCTACTAAATGGTTCAAAATGAAGAGCTAGCTACTAAAATTATCAAACTGGAGTTTATAATTAAGATTAAAAATAATCTTTATTATAAGAGGCAAGGATTATTTATTCATAATACTCAAGAAGCATTGTAATACATGTGCAAGTATATGTCTATCAGAAAATGTTTCCTTAAATCAGTGTTCAGGTTTCTTTTATACTTATAAGTAAATGTTAATTTCATAATTTCTCCTGTTATTCTGTGGGAAGTAAGAAAAAATATAAAATCTCAGAAATATATAACATGTCCCTTAAAGAAAAGGTATTAAATAATTTTAACTGGTCTGAGATGGTAATTGTGTATGATACACAGTATTTCTAATTAACTAGCACAATTTCTATTTCTCCTCTTGTTGTCACTTTGGTTTCTTTCCATACTGTATGAGGGAGCACATAGAAGTTTATCTATAATAAAAGAATATTTGGAATCTGAATAGCAGTTAATTTATGTTAGGTCTCCCAATTTTTCATTATGTGCTGTTTCAACAAAAGCACCAGGGAATTTAGTGTGAACACAAAGCATACCAGCAAGCAGAGTGGTCTAGAAAAACTTGTCTTAAAGAATTCTTAAGTCAGCAGCAGATAAAAGCTGTAAGGATAGGCATCTTAAATTGTTTTTACCCCTTTTTTTTCCCGAATTAATTGGTATCTTCCTTCAGGTTTGCTTTTAAATAGTGAATGACTTATTTTCCTTAGGTGGTTAGTTTAATAATGTTTCATCACCAAGTTTATACAGAAATGACTGATCTGTGTATTACAGTAGAAAAGAATTATGAAAACCCGGGCTGGGTTGTAGCTCAGTGCTTGCCTAGCACGTATGAAACACTAGGTTTGATCCTCAGCACCACATTAAAATAAATAAATAAATAAAGGCATTATGTCCATCTATAACTAAAAAAAAAGAATTATAAAAATCCTATTCTGTTTTTAAGGCAAGGTTAACAGATTTAAATAATCTTAGCTGCAGAAGCTTTAGATATTAAAAATTGTATAAATCAATTATCATTCAAGTCTAATATGGGATTTTAATTCATTATAAAGCTCAGATATCTCTTGATTGCTGTTTCATGAATTTTCTTTCAAATCATGGATCTGAAATAAAAAATATCTTTCAACTCAAAATACTATTCAAGATTTAAAAGTCTTTAGGAAGGATGAGCTTGATACAGCTTTCCTTAAGCTTAGAGAGAATGCATGTCACCATTCTTACTTTTCACATTCCTTCCTCATGCTGGGTTTATTCTGGAATCAAAAGGAAACTGTGTGATCTTGTATTTTCCACCTTGATTTCAGAGCTTATTAATTTGTTTGGTTGTTCCTGCATGTAACACATTTTAAAAATACTTTGTACTTTTCATTAGCTAGGCACTATACTAGTCTCTGGGTCTTTAGTGAAGACCAAAATAGGCAAAGTCCCTGCCCTCATAGACTAAGACTAGTGAAGAGATGCTCATTAATCAAGTGATAAATATAATTATTAATAAACATGGAAATGTGTTGTGAGGAAAAAATATGGGAAGCTCTGAGCACATAAAATGATATCTGAACTAGTGTGAGAAGTTAGAAACCATTTTCCTGAGGAACAGATATTTGAGTTGTGATTGGGAGAATAGGTAGAAAATAACAGGATGATGCAGAACATTGCAGATAGAGAACAGCATGTTTTAAGGCTTTTATGAGGAAAGAAAGAAACATGGGGCCTGAAGAAAGGTAGTGTAGCTGGAGCAGAGAGAAAAGAGAAGAGGTAAACTGAGGTAAGTACAGTTGGCAGGTTGAGGACTTCGAGCCTGTAAGTCATGGTGGGAGTGTGACTTTTGTTCTCAGAAGGAACACAGTAGAGCTGCCTCATTGTCACATTCACCTGCATGAAGGCATATTGCACTCACTGCTACAAATCTAAGATGCTTGATTACCTTTCTAATGCTGTAGAGATCCTTTTTACTGGAAAAGGGTTTAAATAGTTTCTGCTGTGGTTCAGAGATTATATAGTAATAGGAAAATGTACATGTATTTTGTTTGGCTTGAGATAATGGTTTCCAGTAAAACCTCATTAATTCAGACTTAGAGGTGTGTGTAAAGCCTATCTGGATTACAGCTTGTTTTAGAAAGTCTAACAGCATTATTATATCCATTATTATTGGATGTTCAGACCAGAAACATTGAAACAACAGTGAGCTTGTGTTGTCTACCAGAAATCTTTCATTAGTGAACACATGGAAAAATTTAATTAACAGTGCAGAGTATCAAGCCAGTACTACCAATGATATTGTAGCTTATTCATTCACTCTATACTTTTATTCAATAAACATTTACTAACCTCCTTACTAACTAGATATTTCCAATTGATCTGATCAATTTTTATCTTACCTAGGTAAAACATATCACAATTTTCTGTTTTTGTTCACTAAGATATTTAAAAATTGAGTATATAATCTGGCATCATGAAATATGATTTTTCAATAAAATTCAAATTAAGGAACATTTAAAAATCTATTTGTGTGGTTATATTATTATAATATAGTTTTATATTATTATAAGATTAATATAATATTATATTATTAGAAAGCTCGAAGCTCTCCAAGAAGTAGTGACTGGATATTAGTTTTTCTTATATATCTAGTGACATTTTAATTTGCATTATAGAATTTGGAGTTTAACTCAGGAAATTAAATTTCTTAGTGCTCCTAGAATGGGCTCAGAGAACTGATTCATGCTAACTCCTCTAACAAGAATCCTACTATAAATAATAACATTTTCCACACAAAATATTATAATGAGAGAGTTCTTAAATCTTTATTTGAAGTAGTCCCAAATTAGAAATATGCTAGATGCCCATCAATATATGCAAAGACAAATAAAATGTGGTATATCAACAATAAAATATTTCTTAGCAATAAAATGGAGTGAATGCTCGATATATGCAACAATATACACTGATTTAACAGTCATTATGTTAAGACTGAAAAAAGCCAAACACTAAAGAATATATGTTATATGATTCTATTAGTATAAAATTCTAGAAAATGCAAACTAATCTAAAGGGACAGAAAGCCTGTCTATACTTTCCTAAGGCTAAGGGTGGAGGGAACATCTCTTGAATGCAGAAATGTTTGGGGATATTTTTATGAGTGATATAAATATTCTGTATCTTTATTGTAGCAGTGATGTCATGAGTATGTGACATCACTTTATAGATTTGTATACATTATATATAGTTAACTGTACATAAATTATAGCTCCACAAAATGAGTGAATAAAATCAGTGAATAATTGCATGCATTCATGAATTTATTTAAGGTATCTAGTAGACATCATTGTCCCCAATTTGTCATCTTCAGAAATTCCTTTAGATAATAAATGTCATATTGCAAAGAGAATTGTACATTTAATTTGTAATTGATGCCATATGATTAATTCTAAACACTTTACTTTGATATGGCTTTAGTACTCTTTGGCTATAATTATTTTTTGCATACATATCATGACAAATACTATATATTCTTTAATAATTAAAATGTTCAGGTTACATGATAGTGATATGTTAAGCATAGAGTTTGATCTGCATTCTCATATACTATAGGTAAAACTTATGAAAAACTTCAAATGTACAATAAATAAACTTAAAATCTTTAGAACATTTATGACCCACTTGGAGATTTAAACACTGAAAATATTTAATGTTAAAAAATTATCAATATTTATAGATGTAATCTTATTATTATTTTTGAAGTCCTTATCTTTTAGAGATAGATATCAAAATGATATAATTTCTGATATTTTCTTCAAAATAATACCACAGGGGAGAAATGGGTTATGACTTGATAATTACTAAAGCTAGATGATAGGAACAGGCAGATAGGGTGGTTTTAAAAATATTTTTGTTTATAAAACATTTCATGATGAAACATGTATGTATGCTTATAACTTAATGACTTCACTTCAGGAATTTATCTTAAAGAGCTTCACATGGATATGAACAAATAATCCATAATAACAAAGCAGTGTTTTTACACTACCCCCAAATTGGAAACAACTTATATGAATTAGCTTTTAATTACTGTAATGGAATACCTGACATAGGCTACTAATGAAAAATAAAAGAGGTTTTTTATCTCACAATTTTAGAAGTTTAGAAGCATGGTCCCTGTATTGACTCAGTTTTGGTGAGGGCTCCCTGGTGGATGGTGAATGGTAATGATGGAACATGTGTCAGGAACAAGGGATCACATCTTGAGCCAGGAACCAGAGAGAGCAGGAGGGGCCAGGCGTGCTCCTTTTGTAACACCTTTCTCTCAAGAACTGTTAAGGGTTCATATAAAAACTACTACATACCCTCAATAACATAAAGATCTCCCATTATACCTGACCTCCCAACACTGACACCTCATAATACTGACATTGTGGTACCAAGTATTTAATCAGCATGAAATTTTGGGGGACCCTCAATTCATAGCACAACTTAAATAATTAAGAATAGGAATTTGGAGTTGGGGCTGGGGCTGTAGCTCAGTGGCAGTGTGCTTTCCTAGCATGTTTGAGGAACTGGGTTCGATCCTTAGCACTACATAAAAATAAATAAAATAAAGGCATTCTGTCCATCTACAACTATAAAAAAAGAAAAAGAATAGGAATTTGGCAATAACTCAGGAGGCTGAGGCAGGAGGATCACAAGTTCAAAGGCAGCCTCAGCCTCAGCAACTTAATGAGACCCTATTACAAAATAAAAAATTAAAATGGTTGGGGATGTGACTCAGTGGTTAAATGCCCTTGGGTTCAATTTCTGGTACCAAAAAAAAAAAAAAGAATGGGAATGAGGTTAAAGATATTATGATAATGATTTCATTATGTAATATCACATTGAATTCAAAATTGTATCAGAAAAATATATAACATGGGTAACTATTTGTGATATATTTTATGTTAAGAAATTGCAGTCTCCAAAATAGTATGTTCACAAAAATCTATTTTAAAGTTTTATGAAAAGTAAATATGTGTATGGTGTATGTATGTCTGTTATGTGTGTATAGAGAGACTGGAAGTGTATGTGTGTATATATTTATGTATATATATATACACATATACATATATATCATTTATATTCTCATCATTTTTTAAAATACCATTTTGGTAACTGATTTTTTAAAAATTTTTTTTAAAAGAATTGCATATTTTAGGGCTGGGGTTGTGGCTCAGTGATAGAGTGCTTGCCTAACATGTGTGATGCACCACATTAAAAAAAATAAATAAAATAAAGTTATAAAAATCTGATGAAGAAATAGATTTTAAAAAGAAATGCATATTTGGCTTTAATATATTAGCAATTCAATGTAGTATAACATTTCCCTATAAAATATTTTATTATGCTTTATTATTTTGTTATTATTTTTTGTTGGTTCAACCTCTGCTTCACATATGAAAGGCTCTGTACAATATTCAATGAATAAGGATCAAGGTTGATTTTTAAATTTTTTTCTTTAAATTTTTTTCTGAATTGTCTACATATTCGTTTGAAGAACATATATTACTTTTGATATCAGAAATTCACCATTAAAAAATGAACAGTTCTGACAGGCTGAGGTTCTGCTCCTCGGCTCTGGGATATAATAACTTAAATATACTTCTGAAAGCTTCATGTAAACTGAATTGTAGGTACTTGCTTAGCATTTTAATTTTTTTTCCAATTTCAGTTCTCAAACATCTTCAAATAAAGAAGTGGTTATAAAGAAAGGTAAGACTTGTATTGCCCCTGTGATTCCTTGGTGGAGGGTGTTAAAGAACAGCTTTTTTCTGTTACAGACTTCCCTGATCAGTAGTGGTGTTTGTTTGTACCTAGATTCCCCATGTGAAAAATTTCTTAAACTAGTATGAGGCAAAGGAGACTCAAGTCTGATATATTTCACAGTGCTTAGCATATTATTGTCATTCAATGACATTCATACATTGATATTCTTTAGCCTTGGTACTCACATCTTTATTTGACAGGTCAACAGAATAATGGAGATATGAAACCAATCCAGAATTTCACAACAATACCAATCATGAAGGTATGGGTCTATCCGAGAATTAGATTGTAATCTGTCTTTTAAATAATTAAAACAGCGGCATAGTAAAAATATAAATAATAATTCTGTTAATATTTAACATAGTTTTGCTTGAACTTTGAGTAGGGGAGTATATTATAGTGTTCTTATAAATTAGAAAAACCTGAAATACTTAATTTTACTTGCTGTCTTATATTTTTATTACAATATTCAGTTTTATTTTTATTGCTTTCCAGACAGGATCATTACAGTAGCATTTTATCCTTTTATATCATTTTTATTTTTTGTTGGTTTGTGCTTTCTTTTTTATTGGTACATTATAATTGTACATAATAGTGGAATTCATGTCATATTTTTGCATGCACATTATTTTCTCAGTCTCCTTCCCCAGTATCTTTCCTTTCCCTCCCCTCTTCTTACCCGCTAATCCACTTGCTGTACTCTACTGATCTCCCTTCTAGAAGTTTGTCTTTGATTATCCTTGAGCTTGCCTTGTTGCTCCCTCTTAATTAATTTTTCTTTTATCTGTACTTGCATTGGAGTAATTGGTTCACTCTTTGTGTTGTACATTTTATGGATTTTAATAAATGTTTGACATATGTCTATCATTATAAGATATTAATTAGCCTTTTTACTTCTAGGAAGACTTTTGTATCATGGACATGTTTATTTTTAAATTTTATTTTATTTGGTTAATTAGGCTTTTAAAAATCTGAGCCAAGAGGGACATTTAGAAAAAGAACATGGGAATGCCTTCAGCCATCATAACCCTGTTAATGTCTCCGTTGATGGAATTTCCTGCATTCTCTTCTGGGCTAAAAGAATAACAATTAAATTTAAGAATCTGACCTGGCTGGACCTTACAGATGAAACATTTGATCAAAAGGCAGTAGTGGATACTGGCAACTCAAACTGCAGTGAGGAAAGTGCCACGTAAGTGGATCTATTTGCTTGAGGCATCCTTGAGGGGTATTGTAGTCTGTTAACTATAAAAATCCTTTTTTTTTTTTTTTTTGTCATTTCAGAAAAAAAGGGGGACTCCTTTGAACATGACCCTGACATTCTTTGAGGAAGGGAGCAAGTGCTTAATATATAAATGAAAGAACAAGTCAGAAATTAACTTTATATATTTAAAATTTTTTCCTGGCAATTTCCTTGTGGACCTTTTAAACAATTGTCATAAGAACTTTATGGAAAACGAGGGTTTTTAAAATGAGGGTTTCCAAACCCATTCTGAAGAAAAAGGAAAGAATAGAAAAGGACTTCAGGCTTAGTCTAAGTCTAAATGTTAGGTATTAAACTACTTTTGTCTCACCATGGAAGAAATTACATGTCAAAGCTGAGTTATATATGTGGATTAAACAGAGAAGATTCACTTTAGCTAGGACAAATGTCTGACTGCAGGGGGGATTCTGAAGTTATGGAACACTGTTTGTTTGCAAATGTGCAAGGGTACCTTTGAGTGGCCAAATTTCAGAGAACTCTTTAGGACATTTCAACCTGATGAGAACAATTAGTTTTGATTTGAGATAAGCTGATTAAATAGATGTCCCTCTTGAAGAACAAATCAATTTCCAATGTCTTTCTCTGCTTTTCAGTCATCAAAACAAGAAATTTTGCTATTACTTGCTTTGGTCCAGGGGGAGGGAATTTGATACGTTATACTCTTTTTTTTAATATTTGCTGGTAAAATGGATGTTTTTGGAAGATTCTTTGCATGTGTTCTGGTCTGGTTCAGATGGATAGGATGCTTTGTATAAAACATGACATATATATATATATATTTGTGTGTGTGTGTGTGTGTGTTCTTTTTACACTTTATATAGTTTGGCTGAAAATACCTTTTTATTCCTCATCTAAAAATTCTTGATGATGGATAAAAATGGATTATATTAATGTACACTTAAAAGTCACATTATAAGTATTAGTATTTTGTGATTGAGAATGACCAACTTAACAAAAATTTAGGGAATTGAAAGTGTAAACATTCAAAATCATCCCATATCTGTTTATCCTGTTATAGCATGACTATCATAGACTATGAAAGAGATGCCAACACTGCTGAGAGCTCAGAACCTTTTTCCTCAGGCTCTAATTTATTCCCTACAGGGCTCTTTATTTGTGGTCAGTTGCACAGAGAGAGGCTGATTGCCTGGAGATAACTTGGTTGACTGGCCCACCTAAATTGCATTTATTATGACTATAAGGTTTTTGTAGGGAAAATCAGAACACCACAGCTTTTCACTGGGCTTTGGGGACCTTAGTGACCACTAGGAGCCTACAGATGGAAAAAAATTAAAATTTGACTTCTAGACCCAGTTCTCCCAGTGAACTTTGTGATTTTACAAATAGGACCTGTAGGGTCATCATGTATCAGATGTGTTATCATCAGGGTGTCCAGTTGAGTTTAAGTCCTTGATGTCCTGAACAAAGAAATGAGTAAAACACACACAAATAACAGGCCAAGTACAGATTTATTAAAAGCAAAGTTGAAAGTGAGGGTATCATTCTGTAATGTAGAATGGAGTGGGTCAAGCAAGAAAGAGAAACACAAGGCCCTGGTGTCTGGAAATTAGTGTCTTATACGCTGAGCTCTGAGGAGTTCTCTTTCCTATACAAACCAGATTAAAGACTTCACCCCACTCGCTCCCATTGTTTACCTTATGATAGCTGATTAGAATATTGTCCAATTTTCTCCCATTGGTTACTTTAGAAAACCTAATTAGAATACTACCCAATTTATCCCCATTGGTCATTTTAATATACCAAACCTGTGGCAGGAATTATTATGGTGATAAATCCTCAGTGGTGGGAGTTGTCATGGTAATGTTATTTATCAAAAACAGAGACATGACTTATCTCCCTGTATTGTTCTCCATTGGCATCTTTCTTACACCCTTCCACTGCCATTTTGATGTCCCCAAACTCCTACCTAATAGATGGATGTGATGATATCTACTCATTGTGACCAAGAAGTCTTACATGTACATGGGTCAGGCACTGTATAGAGGCCATAACAAGCCCATTATCTCTTATTCCTCATAATATCCCTCTAAGTCACAGGTCACCATCCCTGTTCCAGTTGAGGAAATCAAGGTTCAAATGAGTTTCAAAATTTATTGCAGACTCACAATTTGTATTTAACAGAACCGGGAGAGGAAGTGTTTAATGACATTTTAATTCCTTCCCCTTGGCCCTATCTTACAGGGTTATGAAAGTCAAATAAGATGTATTCATAAGAATTTTGAGAACTTGTCAAATGTTATTCACATGAGTAGTATTCTCAACTTCAAAAGAGTGAGTTGGTGTCTAATTACCTGGTAGAGAGGACTTGAAAGCTTAAATTAATTTTGGGGGTAGTCCTCAGGTGAGTGTGTTCACCTGAGGGTGTGGCAAGTTTCCCAGTGAGTGAGACAATAAAAAACCAGCCACTGAGACAATGTGGTTGATTTCTGTGAATTGCTTAAATGAATGAGAGGCCTTTGTGTGCTGGTGAGGAAATTTTATATGAAAGAACAGGAATGGGAGTTGCTGAGAGAATAAACCCAAGCAAAGACATAACCATGTAAGGTCAAAAGCATGGATTTAAAAAAAATGACCATGTTCTAGCTCTTGGAAACAAAATGTTCAGGGAGAAGCAAATTTGGCAGACAGATTTGCTACGGAAGTCTTTATAAATAGTGAAAGCCCTGTAAATAGAACATAATCCCAGCATCTGTGTATATTTTGAATTTAGACAGTTATAGTCTGATGAATTTAGAATCGGTTTTAAATGTGTAAGAGTAGGGCACTTGAAAAAGTAAAAAAAGATCCTTTTCCCAACTCTTGCTTTAGGTTGTAAATCCCTTTTGGTTTTGATGCCACAGTACCTAGCACTTAATGAATGCTGAATTTGCTTTGTGAAAACAGACCTCATGTTCTTTACTCAAAGCAGAACATTGTTAACCAGATTCTGCTGAAACCAGGACTGCTGGAGAAGAACTCTTGGAGGGAAGGAAGCTTGGAGGCTAATAGGCTGCTTCATTAGGAGGCAGGGACAGAGATTAGGTGGGTTGACAATGGCTTTTCTCTGAGGTTTAGTGCATCATTATAGAGCCAGTTAATGGGAACCCAGTCATTCTGGTCCCATGGAAGAACTAGGAAAATTTCTATTGGAATAAATAATTAGATTTATGAAATACTATTAAAGAAATGCATTTTTTTCAAAGTATTTTCAGTAATTTGTTGTCAACTATAAAATACAGGGAAAGAGGCGGTTGAATATTTGCTTTACCAAATAAATAAGCTTATAAAGAGTTTGTAAAGGAGTATATCTAAGGTTTCTGAGTTTATGATGTCAGAAAATGGAAAATATTATCAATTTACATATATGGTTTATTTTGTTAATAACTCTACCTTTCCCCATAAATAGGATTAAGATGAACTTCAGTCTGATCACTGATATTTATATTTTTTGATTAGAGAGACTGAATTACTGAGATTGTATATGGGTGATAGTTTTCAAGTTTGCAATTGCATATTTTATAGATAACCTGCTTTTGATTTTTTGTTTTACAGTGTACTTTGAGGTATTATAACTTGTAGATATTTTAATGACATAGTAGCAATATCCTTTGTATATTTAAATTTCTTACATTTTCTAGTATAATTATTTTTTTAACCATTCTTACATTTTCAACCTTTTTGAGATATAAATGACAGACAATAAACTACACATATTTAAAGTGTGCCATATGGTCAGTTTCCACCTATGTGTGCACCCATAAAACTACCACCACAATCAAGATAACAAATGCTTTCATAAGGACCCAAAGTTTCCTTGTTCCTCTTTGTAATCCATCCATCTCTCTAGCCACTCCCACCTTCCTACAAATCATTGTTCTGCCCTCTATCATTAAAGATTTGCTTGCATTTTCTAGAATTTTATATAGATATAGTCATATATATCTACTTTTTAGCCAGTTTGATTTCACTTAGCATAATGATTTGGATAATCTTATGTTGTTGCTTGTATCAATGGTTCCTTTCCATTGCTGAGTAGCATTCCACTGTATAGATGCATTGCAACTTATTTATCCATTCACCTGATGGGAATTTGTCCCCACCCCACAGTTTTTACATAGCTTGCCAAATAAGGTTTCTATGAATATACATGTACAAGTATTTGTGGCAACATGTATTTTCATTTCTTTTAGGTGTCATTACATTTGAGAATAGATAGGCTAAATGATATGAGTGTTTAACTTTTTCAGAAATTGCCAAACTGTTTTTTTAAAGTGATTGCCCTTTTTACCTTTCCACCAGTGTTGTATGAGAGTTCCAGTTGTTTTACATCCTGATCAATACTTTGTATGGTCAGTGTAAGATATAGAGAAAAATATTCATGTCTCTGCATTTTTATATTACTGAAAGAATTTAACTGGAACCTTGGTTAAAAAATAAGACTTGAAATTAGTAAGAGATTTACCTCTTCAGAGTAATGTGTTTACATGTTAAAGTCTTATGAAACTAGAATCATAGAGTCATTTCAGGAGTTGGAAACCCCAAGAAACATGTCTTATCTACCTGTTGGAGGCATTTATTTATGTACCGTGGATATTAGGCCTGCAGTCATTTGTCTCCTTTATGTTGAACTATTTGCTCCCTAATTTGAATTCTTCCACTTAGATTGTAGGACATGTATTAGGATATTCCCCCTTCTTTGCCCAAAGAGCATTTATTGATACCAAGGGAACAGATGTTTCTCCTCCTCTCTCAGAAAGTCTCTCTCTCTTTTAGGTAAACACCCAGGTTCATAATTTTGGTCTTCTTTACTTCTACTATAAATATCAATATATAAAAAATGATATTTGGTTCTCATCATGTGGCCTAGAGGGAAAAATTGGGTTAAAAGGGGAACCAATATTTTTATTCCCATGAATAAGTAATAATCTGTCTCTTCTCCAGGAAATTTCATGTTTACTTTCAGGAAAATATGAACAAATATAGGTCTTAAAAACTTGAATCCACTTAAAAAAAACTTTTAGTCATTCTGTTTGTTATACTTTGGTATTCTATTGTGATTTTTGTTTTATATTTTCCAAATGTTGAATGATGCTAAGAGCATCTTTTCATATACTCATTGACTAATTGTGTATCTTTGTTTATATAGTACCTGTTCAAGTCTTCTGACCGTTTTTAAGTGGTGCTATCTTCTTATTGAGTTGTTGAATTTATTATATTCTGGATAAAGTCCCTTGTGTGAATATGTTGGGATTATTTTCTCCTGTCTTGCCTATTTTGTTTTCTTAATAATGTCATTTGAAGATCAAAGGTTTTTCTTATTTATTTGTTTATTTAAATAGTGCTAGGAATTGAACACAGGGCCTCACACATGCTAGGCAAACACTGTGGCATGGAATTACATCTGCAGCCCCCCAATTTTTCATTTTAATTAAGTCTAAATTATTTTTTCTTTTATGTCTCGTTTGTGTATATTTTCAAAAAAACATCTATTCCTAAGATTGTATAAATGCTTTTATATATTTCTTTTATACATTTTGTAGTTTTAAGTATTACATTTGTGTCTAGATCCATTCTGAGGTAATTTTTGAGTATAGTGTGAAATAAGGGTCATCGTGTTTTGATGATCTGTGTTGCATCTCTTTTTTAAGGTTGTCTCTGAAGTTTGGTGATGCTGAAAATCTACAAAGCTTTTATATGAGGTAGGTAGGTTACCACTTTGGAATATTATAATTTCAGGACCTCAGATTAGCTCTATAAACTTATTCATTCTGTATGTGGATTTCAAAGTCTTTTTATGTGATACTTCAAACACTGTGATACTTCAAATGCCACAGCTAGCTAACTACACTGAAAAGTCAATGGCTATATGTGATGGGATCCTGTAAGAGTGTTTTCTTCAGTTCCTATTGAAACACCTATGCTCCACTCATCAGAGAGGAACTTAAGAATTCATGAACCTGAAATGCTGGAATATGATGTCGTTTTCATTAAACTAATTCTTTCTTTCTCTCTCTCCCTCCCTCCCTCTGTCTCTTTCCAAGGCTGAGGCTCTGATTTGAAGTTAATCTGTGTAGTTCCTTATAATGATGCACACTTCTTTATCTGCAATGAACAAGTCTCTGAATTCTCCAGTAGACAACCAACAAAGGCCTACATATTTCTATATTTATGTATAGAAGGATGCATCTACCAACAGTAGTTTATCCAAGCCAGTTAGAAACTGCTTCTGGAGGGTGGGGAGAAATTGAAGGCGTTACATTTTCATCTTATAAAAGTGTAGAGCTTCCCTTCCTATAGTAGGAATGTTTTAGTGGAGAGAAGCAGATGTGTCTTCAACATTACTTGAAAATCAGTAGGATGTGCTAGAGTATTTTTTCCAAAGCTGTGTCCTGTAAAATGCTTCCATTTTGTGAAAATATTTGTGATTCTACAGAAAAAGGATTTTGTAGTTAAACCTGCTTGAGAATTACTACATACCATGCCTTCTTCTTGGAAAGTCAGACTTCCGAGAAGACATGCTTTTAAGGAAGACCGTTGTACTTGTAACTTTGATTAACCTACTGTTTCCTAATCATAACTTTGGAAAGCTTTCTTCCACAGAGCATTTACCAACATATCATGGGACACTGGTGCTTCAGTGATCATAATTTAGAAAATATATGCCATCACCTTTCAGAGAAACTTTGTAAGGAAATAGAATCCCGTAAGGTGACCAACACTATATCTACCTGATATAGAAGTGGGGGGATATTTTTGGTCTGTAATAGCAATTTTTCCAAGTGGAAAATAGCTTTATTATTACTTACGATAAAGGTATTAGCATATGCTGTCAATACCCTGTCTATAGGGCCTTTCTACTTTAGAGCATTAAACTTCACCTGCTCAACTTTCAACTACCACTCTCTCTGGCCAAAGCAGCCCACTCTCTCCCATCCCAAGTCTAAGAAGTATATGAATACCCATCTTTCTCTCCATTGGCTGAGATCATGTAGAGGCATGTTTTTATCCTGGCTTCCAGCTTCCCCCTGGGCATTAAGCCCTTCTTGTCCACAGTGGAAACTTCCTTAATAGTGCACTCATTTTGGTAGCATTTCTTTCCTCTTTAATTTCTCTTTCTTCCACCTTACATATTTTGATGACTGATTTTCCCAGATACTTTTAATATATTCACAACTTATTTCATGCTGTGCTTCTGAAGAAGCCCACAAACTAAATAAGAAAGAAAAGCCACGGAAAATAGAAGAGCCAGAAAACATTCAGCTATGTAATGAAAGAAAATTATAACTAATAATCCAATACCATTTTTAATCACTACTAATGTTTTGATCCCTATCCTTCCAGACTTCTTTTTTTTCTATGCAGTCACCCATTTTTTTAAAAAATAAAAACAAATGATCATGACATATGAACAATATAAATTTTTCATAGCTGGAGAATATTCCATTTCAGAAAGATTAAAAGTAAAGGGCTGGTCTGAGATAGGATTTGAAGCCCAACTCCAAGACATGCTCTCTGATCTTGCACAAGTTTATTTTACCCCTCTTGGTCATAGACTCCACATTTGTCAAATGAGGATAATGGTACTATCTCATAGTGTTATAGTAAAGATTAAATAAAATACACATAAATAACACAGAAGCATGATTAACATGCAGTAAGAGAGCTATTACTGTTCTTTTAAGTCACAATTTAATTCCATGTTGATGTCCACTTACACTTTTTTTCTCAAATTTCTTGCCATAATGTACACATACTCGAGCACTGATTCTGAGAAAGAAAAGCTTTGTATTCTTTTGTAGAGATTTGTATTGTTCACTTTTGGCTTGTCTGTCAGTTGTTTTCTTTCTCACCTACTTAGAGGAAACTTGTTTGAAACTAAGGTGAAGCCACTCCCCAGGTCAGCTCCGCCACCTAACAAAAGAGGGCACTGTTGTACCGTTCATATACTGTGTCCTGCTTTGGTAAATGTGGAAGTACAATGGGTAATACTGATGTATAATCATTTTCAGATTCTTCCTTACCACTTACAACAAATTGTCCAGCCAGAGTTGGTTTACTTTGCACAGAGTTGAGATTATTTTCAACAATTCAGTTCAAGCAACTTTTAATGTAACTGGCATCTATGCTCCATCAAGTTATTCCTACCACTGCCAACGTGTCAGCAGCCTGCAGCAGCATGATGCTCTCTTGTTGCCCAGTGACACAGATGACATGTCAAGCTTGTGGGAAGTCACCTTCATTGATTTTCAGGTAATAAACTAAAACATGCTCAGGATACCTGTGTTTTTGGTGTTGAAGAAATGCAATATTGAAAACACCTGAAACAAAAGATATTTAAGAAGAAGAGAGAAGTTCATACCTTTAAAATAATTAAGATAATTAAAGAAAAATCTTCTAAGGTATGGAATGGAGTAGGATAGAATATTTCCTCTCCCTGTGGCCTCCAAGTCTCTACCCAGGACTTGCTTTTATTTCAGGTTTATCTAGTCACTAATAATTATCAGTGAGGAATGCCAGCAATCTAAACCCCTGTGGAGCTGTGGTGTGAAGCCCAGTGACTGACACTTCCAGGACTGAGAGGCCCTTCTGGGGAGAGGCTTTGTTGGATAATTATTTTATTTCCTTCAGGGAGTGTAGCAGTGATTCTATCAGGGCTGATAAGAAGTACATTGTAGTGTGAGTGACAACGTTGGCAGTTAGTGTAGGAATGGAATCCCCAACAGGGAGTCAAAAATATCCCAAAGATCTTGGAAGTGTTTGGGGAAAGGCAGGGGAGTGTGAGAAGTCTCTTTTCACCATCAGAATCATCTAAGGCTGACAGACATTCTGCCAAGTTCCTCTCTCTTGTTTACCTGCAAAAAGAGCTTAGCTTGTTCTTCCAACTTGCTGAAATAGCAGGCAGGGCTTTGCATGTCCCCTTTAAGGGCACTTTCCAATCTTTTCCATATGGATATGTGGATATTTATATGTATGTATATGGCCCCCATCACCCTTCCAGGCTGGGTGGAGGGTGTAGTGTGATGAGAGGCAGCTGGGGAAGGGAAGGAGCTTGCATTCTGGAGTTAGATAGACTTGATTTAACATACTACTCAGCCACCTGGATAAGGTATTTAACCTCTCTCAATTTCTGGCCTATCTTTATGAATGGAAAGAATACATGGCTTAATGTGTGTGAAACACCCAGGACCATGTCAGACATAGATTAACAATGCTACTTGTGAGTTTTCTCTTGTGTTGCACTGTTGTAGTTATTCTACATACTTTATTGTCAAAATATATCTCAATGCTGTAGGATAGTGGTTATTATCCCTGTTTTTCAAATGAAGTGACTAAAGATCTGATACTTTTTTCAGTGATATAGTTAGTAAATAGTAGAGGCAGAATTCAAATTCTAGACTGGTCCAAGGATGTTTCATATATATATGTGTGTGGGGTGGGGTGGGGTGTGTGTGTGTGTATATGCACATACATACAGACATGACACATGTATGTTTGAAATGTTTATATATGTTATAAATATTTCTGTCTTGCTCTTTAAAATGTGCAGGAATCTGAGGAGGTAATAATAAAAACAAGGAAGAAATCCAGGCACAGTGGCTCATGCCTGTAATCCCAGCAGCTCAGAAGACTGAGGCAGGAGGATTGCAAGTTCAAAACCAGCTTTAGCAACTTAGCAAGGTCCTGTCTCTAAATAAAATATATTTTTAAAAAGGGCTGGGAATGTGGCTCAGTGGCTAAGTGCCCCGGAGTTCAATTCCCAGTACAAAACAAAACAAGAAATAAATTGTATATAATATGAATTAATAAGAACAGAGGAATTGACTTATACATCTGCCTTGTTTCAGAAATAGCTTAAGGTGACTTACAGAAATATTACAAAAAATGTACATATAGGCAAACCACATCACACAAATTAGGATAGGCCACAGGGAGAGGAAATATTCTATCCTATTCCATTCCATACCTTAGATGATTTTTCTTTAACAACAACAACCACACACACATACATACACACACACACACACGTAAGGAGTATTGGCAAAGAGGTGGAGAAATGGAATCCTTGTGCATTGATAATGAGAATGTAAAATGGTGTTAATGCTATGGAAAACAATATGGCAGTTTCTCAAAAAATTAAGCATAGAGTTACCAAGTGATCCAGTAATTCTACTTCTGGGTATATATCACAAAGAATGGAAAGTTGGGAATTGAATAGATAACTGTGCACCTATATTCATAGCAGCATTAGTCAAAAAAGCCAAAAGGTGTCTACCAATGGATAAGTGGGTGAACAAAATCTAGCATGTACAATATACAATGAAAATTCACCCTTAAAAAGGAAGGAAATTTGGATACATGCTATAGATGGGTGAACCTTGAAGTTATTATGCTAAATGAAATAAATCAGATACAAGAGGACAAATATTATATAATTCCAGTCATATGAGGTACCTTGGGTGGTCAATTTTTTTTTTGTACCAGGGATTGAACTCAGGGGCACTTGACCACTGAGCCATATCCCCAGCCCTATTTTGCATTTTTTTTAGAGACAGAGTCTTACTCGGTTGCTTAGTACCTTGCTTTTGCTGAGACTGGCTTTGAACTCATGATCCTCCTGCCTCAGCTTCCTGAGTCACTGGGATTACAGGCATGTGCCATCATGCCTGGCTTGGGTGGTCAAATTGAGAGACAGGAAGTAGAATAATGGTTGCTGGGGGCTGACAGAAGGAGAACAGAGAATAGTGTTTAATAAGTGTTTAATTAGTGTTGTAAGATGAAAAGAGCTCTGGAGACAGTGGTGGTACTCAGCAATATGAATGCACTCAGTGCCACTAACTGAACACCAAAAAATAGGATTTTTTTTTTTTTTTTTTTTTTTTTTGTGGAGGGGACCAGGGGATTGAACTCAGGGCTTTGTGAATGCAAGGCAAACGGTATGCTGCTGAACTATATCCAGCCCCAGGAATTTTATGTTATTTATGTTTTATAGTTAAAAGGCAAAATAGAAAAAAAAATGGTGTGGGGAATAAAAAGGAAGGTTAGTTAGAAGCCTCTGGGGAAGTTGGTTCATAAAACCTCAGGACCATCTATCTGCACTGGCTGGATGTGGCATAGTAATTTAACTTAAAAACTTTGGAGCAGCCAGTATAAGAAATAAGTATTCTTTTACATAACTACTGAGTCCCTGTGACTACTGAAAATTTGCCTGTGAGAAGTACATCTTCCCCATTGTTGTGCAATGTGGATGTCCTCAACAATATCCTTACACAGCACCTTGTAAAAACACCTGTAGCTGAGGATGTGGGGGAAAGGCACACACATACATTGCTTGTGGAAAAAAAAAAAACAAAAACAAAACACCTGTAGCTTAAATGCAAGCTCAAGCCAGGGAAAAGATGCTGTGGTGGTGGTATCTGAGTTATGTTAATAAAAGGCTGCTTTCCATAAGTGCAGACATTCTGGTCTAGTCTATTCTAAGAATAAAGTGTGATTGTCCCTCAGTATCCACAGGGGATTGATTCTGGAGCTGCCACCCCCCGCCATAGGTACAAAATTCCATGCATGCTCAAGTCCCTTATTTAAAATTTTCTAGTATTTGCATATAACTTATATACCACCTTACATATGCTCTCAGTTATCTCTAAAATATTTATAATACCCAATGCAATAAAATGCTACATAAATAACTGTATTGTGTGGACTGTAATGACAAGAAAAAAGTCTGTACATGTTCAGTACAACTGTTTTTCCCAGAGTATTTTTTTAACTTTATTTTATTAATTTTTTTTTGTGGTGCTGAGAATCAAACCTAGTGCCTCACATGTACTATGCAAGTGCTTTACTTGAGCCACTGAGCTACAACCCCAGGCCCCCACCAGAATATTTTTGATCCACAGTTCCAGAATATTTCGATCCCCACATGGGCCCCCTGAATATGAGGGTGACTGTATAGAATGGTGCAGCAGACATCAAAGACTCAGTGGGTAAATGAGTGAGGTGAACTGGGTGTGTCTGTGTAGCCAGATTCACAAGGAACATTTTAAAATTCAACTTTAGCTGATGTGTGCTTTAAAGTAAATACAGGACCAGGGTTGCTGGATCTTCTGACTTTTCAACAGACACTAGATATTTGGACTTACTGGAAATTTTCAGGAGATTCAGAACTCAGGGTCAAACAAAGCTCACCTTTGGGTTCCATACAACATTTTTAATGTCTAGTCCAGGAAATGGATGAACCACATACTTCAGACATTCCCATACTTGCTGTCCTCGACCAAATCCCATTAAGAATTAAGTGGCAGTCAGCCTGAGAGCATTTCCTTTGGCTGGAGTTGCAGAGTCAATTGAGGTCATCTTTTGTCATTGAGGAACTCCACTCTTCAGGCACTGTTCTGAGAATAAGGCCACTATGCATCAGAGGTGTGGGCAGGGGATGCCTGAAGCCAGGCCAGGAACCTTCTTCAGAATCAATTTGGGGTTCAGTCTAGAATACAGACAAGGTCTGAACAAGGTCCCTAAAGACTCTGGCATGATGAATGGCTATAATAATTTTGGCATGAGAAAATACTAAAATGCCCATTTAAAATGCCCATAAAAAATGAATTCTTTGTGAAACACTCATAGATCATTCAATTTTTTGATGTACCTTTTAAAAAACAAGTGACTGAATGAGGTGATGTTGTGTAGGGTTAGACTCTATAATGCAGCCAAACAGGCTGCTTTCCAGTTATTTCTCTTTTTTTAAAGAAGTTGGTCCTTAGTTTTGTTTCTTTCATTTTGACAGCAGTATTTAAATAGCAGGGCTGTAATCAATTTGAACCTTTCCTAGTTCCAAGTAATTAAACTACTTTATTTACTCATATGAAAATGCTTTTTTTCCCCCCTATTCTCTGGACAGGATGCAAGGAGGAACTAGTATTCAGTTCTTCCAAAAAATGGCAACAAGTCTGTATGGTACAGTCTGTAAGTTGTCCAGGGTTTCATTTTCTGTGGTTTAATTACCTATAATTAGCTACAGTCTGAAAATATTAAATGGAAAATTCCAGAAATATGTAATTTATAAGTTTTAAACAACTTTTATTACAGTATATTATTATTGTTGTTCTTTTATTAGCTATTATTGCTAATATCTTACTATTCCTAATTTATTTGTTAAACTTTATCATAGGTAGGTATATATATATATATATATATATATATATATATATATATATATCTGCTTATTTTCTATGGGGATTAATTCCATAGTCCTGGCCTGATACCAAAATTCACAGACTCTCAAGTCCCTTATATAAAAATGGCATGGTATTTGTGTATAATCTTCTCCTACACACTTTAAAACACCTGTAGATTACTTACAATACCTAATGCAATATAAATCCTATGCAAATAGTCATTATACTGTATTATTTAGGGAAAAGTAAAAAGAACAAAAATGAACATCCAATTTAAAGAAATATTTTTTATCTGCACTAGTTGAATCCACAAATGCAGAATCTATGGAAATGCAGGGCCAACTATATAGGGTTTAGTATGATCTGTGGTTTTAGGCATCCACTGGGGATCTTGAACATATGCCTTGTGGATAATAAGAGAGGACTACTGTACAATTGACAAAAGAGGGAGAGGTAGTGACAACAGGAAGAAGAGACAGAGCACACCAGGAGCAACTGAGTCGTAACTGAATCTGAGTCTAAAACCAGACTGCCTGGAGTTGAAGTATACCTTTACAACACTTACCATTGTGGAACTCTGAGCAAGTTACTTGATTTTCCTGTTTCCTCATCATAAAGTACTAGTAAAATAGTAACTTGCTCATAGACTCTTGTGAGTATTAAACAAGTTAAGGCAGCACTGGGTATACCATAAGCCCCACAAGTGTATTTTTATTTTACCTCATCAAGAGTCATGATGTCTTCTCTTGAAAGACTCTTCTTGTCTATTTCCTGTCAGTCGAATCAAAGGCAGACTTGAAATCTTTGGAAAAATTACGCCCATACAGTTTAACATGTTTTGAATTTCAGAGACACCATAGCAGTTGTGGTTTTCCATGAAATGGAATATTCTTTTTTCCCCATTTTTTTTTCGTTTTTTTTATTAGTTCTTATAGTTATACATAGTAGTTGTTGGGTTTATCCTGACAAACTAATACATGCATGGAAATTGATTTCATGAACTAGAATATTCTGTGTTTAAATGATTTGTAGATGTCAACGGACCTTTATTTTATTCATTTATTTGTATGCGGTGCTGCGAATCAAACCCAGTGCCTCATACATGCTAGCCAAGTGCTCTACCACTGAGCTGCAAACCCAGTTCCTAGAATATTCTTAAAAATCAGATTAAAAGAGGTTTTATTTCAGAGGTTTAAATTTCACAAGCCCTTTAAATATGATAGCCATATATCCCAGAGTTTCTGGATCAGTCCTAAAGTAAAAATCAAATTTCATTGTCTTCGTAAGCACAATCATATTTGTCAGATAATGTGATTACATTATGCAACAAATATGGTGATAGTGTGTTAAATCTGCCTAATTAGAGTTCCAGAACCATGAGCCCAAGTGGAAAGTTGACCCTGGAAGATAAGGCAAAGGCCACTTCGGTTCTTTTTTATCTCCTGACAGATCCAAGGCTTTACCACTGAAGGGCAGCAGTTTGCCAAGGCCCGGGACTGCACCTCTTCCTTCTCTCCAGCTGTTTTGATTGGCCTGGCCATGTCCCTGATCCTGCTGCTGGTGCTGGCCTATGCCCTGCATATGCTCATCTACTTGCGCTATCTGGACCGGCACTATGAATTTATCACCTCTCCTACTCATTTCCCACCGTTGAAAACTCGAGACCTGGCAGAGGAGAAGGAACTGCTCAGGAGCCAGGGAGTTGAATGCTATGAACTGAGGAGCCAACAGATCTGCAAGATTTATGTTTAACAAGCATGGGCCTCTCTCCTCTCTCTTTCTCACCATGTCCACAATGGCTCTTAAAGATGTGGTTTCTCTTCTGTGTTGTTTCACTTGTGAATGTCTTGATTAAAAAAAATACAAAAAAGAAAATAAACAATTTTTGGTTTTGAAACATCCACTGATTACTTAGATAAACTTTGGACAATGAAAAAGTATCCCACAGATCCCACAGAGATAAATACAATGGTTGCCCCAAACCTACCGTGAAAGTGAAGGGATGTTTCAGGTTTGGAAAATGGGTATGTGTGTGTGGATGATGAGCATAATGCAACATAGACAAAGGAACACACTTGTTCCCTGGGTCCTCCTTGCTTGTGCCAATTTAGATGTGGTAAGAATAGAAATAATAAACCCAATTAATCTGGAAGTTCAGAATTTAAGATATTTTGTATCTTAATTTATTTTCAGAAATTATGTCCCAATTTTTTTTTTTATAAATAGCCTTTTTCTCTCTTTCATAGGACTATTTAGGAGAAACTGTGGTCAATGTAGTAGAATAACATATCTTAGGACCTTTTTGCCACTAACTTTGCTATTCAAAAGCAGATAGCCCAGTTTGTGTCATAGGGGTCATAGTTTTGGTATATCTTATCTTTCCATCTGGTCATGGTGCAAAAGTTTATCTCATTTGTCTGATTTAGACCTCTACAAACTCTCCTGAGTACCCTTGAAACAAGCAGCACAGCTAAATAAGACAATGTGCTTGCTGTACAAATACAGATTCAAGATAGGTCCTCTAATTCCCCTTCCAAGTAGATAGTGTCCTCTAAACTCTTCCTTAGTAGAAATTCTGGGGCCACCACTGATATTCTTACCACTGGTTTCTTCCATATGAATCTCCTAATCCTTTTGAGTTCTGGGCTGACTCCGAAAATTGACTCACTCTCTAATTCACCAAAGCCTCTCTAATATGCCTTCTGTATCAAAGGGCTCATAAATGTAAAATTACGTTGTATTTTCCTATCTAGGATTCTATACTTTAGCTAGAAGAAGATAGCCCTGCATAGAACTTAGAATGCAGATGAGAACAATCTCAGGTGGGGGTTATCGACAGAGAAATGGAATCTTCTGTGTGATAGATCTAGTCCCACCTTAGGCAGCAAGCATGGGTAATGATGACAGTGAAGTTGCTAATAGAACAGTCTCATGTTTAGCATTTATTTTAGCTGCATTATTATTGGCTGTGAATGTAGGTTTGGTTCAAACTGCCTTAAAATTTTGTAAGATCATAGTTCCTTTCAGTTTAGATATCTGGAGTAGATTCTGCAGTCTGTAACTAAGAATCCTGATTTATTTAAGTTGTTAGTACTAAGATGATTACAGGGAACAGAATCCCAAGAAAATGAGACTCTAGGATTGATTATTATTCTATTTGGCTAAAACCAGTGGAAACTCTGTTAGCATAAGAGAATGGTAAACTGACAGCCCAAGGCATTAAGTAATGAAATTGAGATTCCCATTGCTGTTGCTTTAAGTGTCAACTGCTGATTTAAATGGCTGTTTGATCAGCTATAGTCCCAAAAAAGTAAATACAATTTATTGTTCAAACTAGGATACTTTTGAAAGTGAAAGGGAACATCATTAAAAATTCCAAGATAGTAGATGTGGGTGGAATCAGGAAAACTGAGATATATAGTCACCCTAATTATGGGTGATACCCTGCAGCCTAGGCTAGCTCTTTCTGTAATGGATGGTTTATGGAAAGAAACGATAATTCAAAATTTTAAGTTCACATTTCAGGCATGGTCAAAGATCTGGCAAGTGTCCATGACTGATCTAAAGGGATTCCTTACCTTTTGTCAAAGGGCTGACATGTTAAAAATTGAACTTGGGTCTGATCCTGCAAAATGCTTTTGTATGTGGAATTCACACCCATACAAGATCTCTGTTTTGAAAATGAGAATATTGATGACAATAAAGAAACGTTGAGAGCAGGAATGGTAACTTTGGAAAGGTTTAGACAACTTTAACAATATTGAATTCTCAAACTCCATACTCAGTTTTTCTTATTAGCAGAAACAACTCCTGTGAGATGAAGCCGTTCCTGCCTTGCTCAAAGATCCTGTGATAGCCTCACCAGAGATACTTATTTAGACAAGGGGTGCCAATTTTCCTTTTTTCATTTAGGTAATTGGAGTCACATTCTAGCATATCCAAGGGAGCCAAGTGCAGAGTCAAATCACGGAGAAGAGAATTGCAAAAATAGTTTTACCAACTTATGTAACAAAAGATTTGGGAGAATATATGTTGGAATGAATTCAGGTCGTACAAACTCAAGGAGAGAAGTTTATAATTTTAGAATGAACTGAATTGTTTGATATGGATTCTCTTAACAGAGATTAAGGATTAAATGAGCTGGCTTGAGCAGTTGGGAGTGCTTCTAACAGTTTATTGATTAAAATCTAGACTCAGTAGTATCATACCCTAAGCAAAGTGTAGAGATCAGAAATGCCTTGGAATTACATGAAGGAAGAAAAGAAATTTAATAACTTAGAGAATTGGGATGTAGGAATGGATTTATCATGTGTAAACTGCTTTCTCTCCTATAACAGCTTTCTTCGTGAAGTCCCAGAGGAATGCCCTTTGTTCTAGTACAAAGAGATGCTTTGGGATTATAGCACCAGATTTTTTTGAAAAGTGTTCTAGTGGCTGTTCTCTGAAGGTTATGGATGAAGGTAGGAGATGCCATTCTTGAAATGGAATTCTTGGTCTCAATAGGGGTGCTGAGATCCTAGAGTGGCAGAAATCAAAAAGCATCAAAGTAACCTAAAAGAGATAAAGGGTAAGAGTGTTAATCAGATTAGATTGTATTTGTTAATGGTAAATTGATCTATGATATATTTGGATAGATAGTTTACTGAAACACTCTTATCTGTATCATCATCAGCATCATCATCATCTAAATCTGGTATAAAAAGTCTTACTTAAGCCATTGTGGTAGATTCTCAGAACTAAGTTTTTGATTACTCAGTCTCCTTGAATGAAGAACCTCTTAAGAAAGGCTTTTGTTTTTATGTCTAATGTTGAGCATGATTATAAATAACTATATGTTTATTCCTCATCAGATATCTGTCTTTTAGCATTGCTTCTGATATGTTCTTTACTTTCAGGTTAAGAAGTTATGCTATTATTACAGATACCTTTTCTATTAACCCACCAAATATGTCACCATTGCTATGTAATTATTAGTGCATCAGAAGCATAGCCTCAGCAGTATTTCTCTTTCTGAAAGGTATGGAAAAACATGGCAAAGAAAGTGATATTTGACATGAGTAGGAGTAGCTAGGTAGGTAAGGTGGAGAAGGACAAACATAGCAGAAGAAAACACATTTGCAAAAATAAGACTCTAACATGTGTGCAGAATTGTGAACACATGTCTGTAGGAAGGCACATGGGATTTAGAGGAGTGAAGAAGGAAAACTTGGAGATTAAGAGGGGGATCAGATATTATGTTCAAATAAAGATTTAAAATATTGAATTTAGGTAATGGAGAGGCCCTTGTGAGGATTTTGGAAGACTTAACACAAGATGATTACATGGTATATAGTGTGAATAGAATAGAGACGGAAATACCAATTAGGAGATTATTACAATGGTTTAGGGCAAAATAAGAATAAGACCTGAAGTAGGACAGTGTCATGGGAGGTAGGAATTAGAAGAATTTTAAGATATTGGCAGTCAATTAATAAGTCAGAAATGACTGGTAGGTGCGGGAAGCCACTGTGAAATGTGCATGGTCCAGATCAGCATTGAAGCTATTGAAGGGAAGATCTGGTATTTGGGAACTCCTACCAGCAACCCTGCTGGTTTTGAGATGGCCCAGTACATTGTGAACTCCCACTCAGCTCTGCCAAAAGGTTCTGCACAACACGGGAAGATGGGCATGACCTGTTAAGAATCGAGTAGCCTACCTGTCCCCACCTCTATCCTGTTTTTGAGGAGAAATTTCTATCCAATCCTTTTGATCTGTTCTGATATAAATAATCCAGGCTCTGGCTTCTTTGTTAGAAGCTGCACCAGTCTGGTCAGGTTGGTCGGTCACTGCCCCAGCTCTGAAAACCAGCTCTGTGGTTATTTTGTAGTACTATTTTCTTAGCTTTTGTTTCTTAGTCAGCCCATCCCTCCAGAGGGAAACCCTTTCCTTTGCCCAGGTGGGACGTGTGGGAGAGGTAGGTGTCTTATTTGAGCACTGCAAGGATGGTGATGTCAGTTTTGTGATCAGGGATTAAAAAGATAAGGGTGATAGGGGAAGGTTCCAATAGGCAGTTTATCTAGGCAGTTGGATGTATAGATCTAGGGTAAAACAGAGTATCTGTACCAGAAATAGAGATTTAGAACAAAGCAGATGCTGTCTGTGTCCCACCCATGTTCTTTTGGCCCCTATCATTTTCATTGCCACAATCTGTCCTCATGGGCTGCTCTGTCTGTGTTGATGACAGACTGGAATCACTAATATATCAATGTACCCTAAGTGTGATCCTCAACCAACAACTGAGGAATTTTGTATAGATGCTCCAGTTCATTTTGTCCCTTGAATGAGATAACTCTAGACTATTTCCTGGAGTTCCCCAACAGGAATAAGCTCTTTTATCCCTTGTGAAATCTTGCTTGAGAATGTTCACTTTATTGGTTCCCCTCTTCCCTGTTTCACTTTCCTACTCCTATAGTGGCATTTCCTGACATCACCTCCAAAACAAACTTCTTACATTTAAATCCCTGTCTTAGGATCGGCTCAGGAAACCCAAATTAAGACATGTAGTAATGGCCATATGGGAAAAATTGAAAACAAGGTGACTAGTGGTGATGGAGAAAGAAATGAGATCACCTCAGAAGAAAAAGATGGGTTGATAATAGACCCCTGGGGAACACTGCATTTATGGACAAACCTGCAAAGGAGTTAGAGTAGAAGCAATCAAAAAGGAAGAAGGCAAACCAAGAAAGAATAGTGTCCCAGAAACCAAAGGAAAAATAAAAGATTTCTAAGATGAAGGGAATAGTCAACCATGTTAAATGGTCGAGAGAAATCAAGCTAGAAAAGAACTACAAATTGTTTA